CGGCTATGCGAGTGGCCACTGTATAGCTTTTGGCCTGGCTGACAGGCGTTTTCGAAATAATTTGAATTTTCACCACAATCGCGTCAGCGCTACCTGGCGTTTGTGGCTGTTTTATTCTTAATGGGGCACCCCTGATGTCCGGTAAATAAAAACATTCGAAACTGCCAACTTCTTTCGTCAAACGTAACATGGGATAACGCTACACTTACGCCCCTGTAGAGGACGCATTTGCTCTGACACTGGACTCACCTCGGCAATTTAGAAGAAGGGTTCATAGGGTCTTACCTGACCTGTGCCTCGTCGTTCTTGGGCGCACCAACAGAGGGCAGCTGGGGATCAGCATTAGGTTAAGTCGTATATCGCTTATTTTCGATTCTTGGGTTGTAATAATGTTTTCCAGGCGCCATTTTGGATGAAAACTCCTGGAAACCTTTTTTAAGTTTTTTCCTTTAACGTTTTCATAACCCTACCTTGCCTGTTATTCTGGCCTGCCATAAGAGGTGGTTTTGAAAACCTCAATTTTGGGCGTATTTTTTTCTTGACTATACACGCAATTTTACGATCCTCTGGGTGAAAATTTTAAGGAGAAGGCTCTATCTCTGCCGGTTTGCATGATATGAATTGTTTTTATATTGCTGTAAATAAGCAACCTTTTCCCTTCCAATAATAATTTGTAGCTCGAAAACCGGCTGAGATAGAGCCTTCTCCTTAAAATTTTCACCCAGAGGGTCGTAAAATTGCGTGTATAGTCAAGAAAAAATACGCCCAAAATTGAGGTTTTCAAAACCACCTCTTATGGCAGGCCAGAATAACAGGCAAGGTAGGGTTATGAAAACGTTAAAGGAAAAAACTTAAAAAAGGTTTCCAGGAGTTTTCATCCAAAATGGCGCCTGGAAAACATTATTACAACCCAAGAATCGAAAATAAGCGATATACGACTTACCCTAATCAGCATGGTGGTCTCTCTCGCGGCCGTTTCCAGTTCCCAACTTCGAATGGAAAGCGTTGTCTGGTGGCGCCCAGATTTTGCACAGTGTCTTCACAAGTTCCAAACGATTTTTAGAGGGTGCAACCTTGACTTCTTTTTTTCTGTTACGGGCTATCCTACCCGAGCCGAGCTGCAGCCCATGTGGCCCGGGCCGGTCTCGAGGGCGGGCTATTGTCGGCCCGGATAGGGTCGGTGCAATTCCTGCGCGGCCTGTATTTCTTTTGTTCTCCGGCTGCGAGCTAGGAGGCCTCTTCGGTCAAGATAAGTTGTCAGGACCTCTAGGCCCAGTGCCAAACCTACTCTAGGGGTGAAAACAGCTACTCTCAAAAGCGCCTTTGAAATCTGAGTGTATCACCGGAAAACCTTCCCTTGTTAGCTTCAGTCTGAGGCCGAGCTGGTCACCCTTCTTGTGGCCCTCCAACACGTCCAGCGAGAAGGCCCGCAACGGGTCGCCGTCCTTTCTGAAAGCCGGTCGGCTCTGCAGGCAATTGCCCGTGCGACACCTGACGCCACGCCACCTCCTCTGCTATCCTCCCTTCAGTGTGTGCACTTGGCGTCTCCTTACTTCATGCCGGGGTGCACCTTCGCGCTTCGCCTCTCCTGGACGCCCGCTCACCGCGCTCAATGAAGTGGCGGAAGCGGCTGCAAATCTGTCCTGCGCGGGGGAGAGGGGGTCCCCATCTCGCTCCAACAACCTTCTATTTGGCACAGCCTGACCAGGGCCGCGCGGCCTGTCACAAAGCATGGCGTACGTGCGAGAAGGGCAAGACTCTTCGCCATGAAACCCGCCCCGTATACATACTGTATACAAACTGTATACGTTACATGTACAATGTACAATTCAGATGTGTGCATACAGGTGACGTATACGGTTCGTACGCGGTCCGAGTATGATCTGTATGCCGTATGTGATCCGTATGTGGCAGCTGGATGTGTGCCCTCCATGCACTGCGTATGCTAAGCCCTACATAAACTGTACGTACTGTACTTGTACTGAACACATACGTTCTGTACGCTCGCATACTGTCCATACACGGCACGTGTATGCGTACCTTATTCACACGCGAGGTTGTCGTGTCCGTACTGTCTGTCAAATCACACTGCCGTATGTGTGCTGTATGGCCACGGCCACATTAGGTGCCGTATGTGTGAAGTATGTGTCGACATCCGACTGCCTAAATATCAGATGGCTGACTTACGCTGCGTACTTTCGTAGTTATACTGTACCGCATGCACGCTTGTGGCCATAAGGAGCTGTGGGCAGCGAGGATAAGAACTAAAAAGGTGATAGTGCAATGCAGTTTTCGTGGAAAAGTTTATATAATATTGCATTAATGAAAGTATGTGCAGTACATCACAGAATAACAAATAATAATCACAGGTTAATCTTTACAATGGTTAGGAGTCAGAGCAACGTACATTCCTACTTTAAAAACCTCGCTTTTTAAACATATCACAGGGATGAATAGATAATTTCCCGAATCCTCGACAGGTATCAAATGTCTAACAACATAACTGCTCTCTGTGTGATAGATTAAATTGATGTTATTCACTTTAAAAACTTTAATGAGACAGTAGAGTGATGCATTCTCAGACTTAACAAACACAATAATACGACCATATTCGACAGTATCACCATCATTGAGTTCAAACTTAACAAACGAATCACAGCGTTTTTTGTTGTCATCATAACTTTTACTATTGTATAAGCTGTTTGACTTGATTCTGAGTCTGAAATGTAGAACATAACTCCCAAAGTCACAGGAGCTAAGGCACTCTTTCTCCTCGGTGCTGAGAGATCCAAGAGGCAAACTTACACCTAACAAATGAGGCTGTGCCTCAGCTGTATGGACCAACGTCCTAGCATGAGAAGTAACATTTTCCAAGATTGCCACTCTTTGAGAAATCTTAATATTTCTA